AGGCGCCAAAATACACCCATGACAATCGACGATTTCACTCGTAATTTGGCCGGTGTGAATGGAGGGAAGGACTTTGACAAAGAAATGCTTTCCAAAATGTATCACGCCATTCAGTGAGTAGATTTATGAATCAAATCCCTTTCATTCCGGGGAAAACGTCATCTTTGACACAGTGAAACCCCTTATCGAACTTCAAGAGACCAGCAGAGAAATTCGAGTTGAAAAAAAAAGAATTTATAGGAAATTGTATTGGTGATATTTTGGGCAATGAATTGCTTTTAAATGAGTTGATAGGATGCCGCACTTGAAAGCAAGGGTTCATTTGCCCAATTAATCTTCATTTTACTTCCATAGCATATTGTTCACATTTATATTGTTTTTCATTTTCACATGTAAGAAAATGATAGCGGAAAGGCATCCAGAAAATTCCAGTTATGGAGGTTTTGGGAGGAAGCGTTCAAGTCGTTAGGGAGGTTTTCAAATTATTGTTCATGAGGCATTTCAGACAGGGAATTTAAAATATTTTACACTGGGTTTATTTGACTGGGGATGGTTCGACTAATTGAGGTTTAACTGTTGCAAGAATCGGACTGCTTGAATTATGCGATACTGTGAATGCGTTAGGAATTATTTGGATTGTATTCCTACAGAGAAGAGGAAGAGTCCAATCCAATTTCAAATTTTTAATCGCGTAAAATCTTGAATGCGCCAAATAGACGTTGAGATTCAAATTGTTTATGTGTCTAATCTATGTTGAACTAATTGGCTGAAACTCCCGAGGTATAAATTGATTTTCGAAATAATTTTATATTACCAACCAGTCCGAATAAATTGATTCATTTTCGGGGTTGCCCGAAAAAGATGCTTCGGCTTAACATAGTATATTAGTAATTTTGACTATACAGTATTTTATTAAATCTTGCGGTGCGAGGGTTTTCCTAAATGTAATTTTCAATTGATTACAACAGCTGCAATATTTTCGCAAAATTCTAAAAGATGAATTCCACAAAACTATGGCTAGAAAACGTCAATAGTCCGTTTATGTAATAAACTTAATTTTTGAAACGCTCATCTTCCTTCCAATGCTGGATTTCATGACAGGAAGAACATACGGTAAAATCTCGATACGACTCCATTTGGGCCAGTGAAACAGATTCGTTGGAAGGAAACTCAAATGACATTGTTGATACGGGCAGGCACCCAAAAACAAAGTTGCAGTAATTGATAAAACGTCATAATGAGATTTGTAATAACAAGATTCTACTGTTTAAAGAAAATGAATCAAACTGCCTTATTCTCATTCATCTCGAAGGACGCCGTGTTATTATCTCAGGCTTGTTCGGCAAACTTTTGAAGAGCTTCTCATCCTTCAACGAGGCTTTTTAAATGGAACATGTCTATGTCAAATGACGTCGATTGATGAATTCATTAAACTCGGAAAACGCATTGTAATTTTTCCAGCAACGAAGAAATCGTCATGCCTGCTGAGCATTCGGGAATTTTGCGGGAAAATTACGAATGGAAGGTGCTGCTTCGTCGTGGGGAAACATCAGAGGGCACGTACACGCATGCGATGGCCGGTGTGTTTGACCACGACTTGTTCTCGCTANTATTTTATTAAATCTTGCGGTGCGAGGGTTTTCCTAAATGTAATTTTCAATTGATTACAACAGCTGCAATATTTTCGCAAAATTCTAAAAGATGAATTCCACAAAACTATGGCTAGAAAACGTCAATAGTCCGTTTATGTAATAAACTTAATTTTTGAAACGCTCATCTTCCTTCCAATGCTGGATTTCATGACAGGAAGAACATACGGTAAAATCTCGATACAACGACTCCATTTGGGCCAGTGAAACAGATTCGTTGGAAGGAAACTCAAATGACATTGTTGATACGGGCAGGCACCCAAAAACAAAGTTGCAGTAATTGATAAAACGTCATAATGAGATTTGTAATGACAAGATTCTACTGTTTAAAGAAAATGAATCAAACTGCCTTATTCTCATTCATCTCGAAGGACGCCGCGTTATTATCTCAGGCTTGTTCGGCAAACTTTTGAAGAGCTTCTCATCCTTCAACGAGGCTTTTTAAATGGAACATGTCTATGTCAAATGACGTCGATTGATGAATTCATTAAACACGGAAAACGCATTGTAATTTTTCCAGCAACGAAGAAATCGTCATGCCTGCTGAGCATTCGGGAATTTTGCGGGAAAATTACGAATGGAAGGTGCTGCTTCGTCGTGGGGAAACATCAGAGGGCACGTACACGCATGCGATGGCCGGTGTGTTTGACCACGACTTGTTCTCGCTAGTTTGGGGCCCAGTAGTGGCTGCACTGAGCTACGCCTTTGACCGATCCGTGCAACCCCAGCTGGTGAAGAAGGCAGTGCGGGGATTTCGGAAATGTGCCATGATTGCGGGCCACTATGGAATGAGTGACGTGTTCGACAACTTGACCATCACTTTGTGCAAGTTCACCACGCTTCTGAGCAGCAACGAAGTGAGCGAGATTACCGAGGGATTGTTTTTGGTTTTTCTTTTTTACCTTAAATTCTCGTTGCGACGAATACCGATGCAAATTTTTTTCTGTAATCATCTATGTGAGTGCTAGCGTCTAGTCTGTCTCGAACAAAATGTTCCCAATTTTTGAGAATGCGAGTTGTCTGATTTGCACACCTGAAGAAATGAGCACCAGAATGTTCTGATTGGATCAATCGGAAGGAATTTTTTTGAATTAATACTGGAAAAGGGAAAAAATATGGTACTCGAAGAACTTGCACGCGAGCTAATATTCGCAGATTGATTTAAGCACCAGAATGAAAAGTGAACCACTCTTGAAATCATCTCCAACCTCTGTGCAACCTATGCGTCTTGATAACGTGACTTTTTATGATTCCCTGATAAATTTGGATACCTGAAAATATACCTACTGTACAGTGAAATCCTGTTACAAAATACTGTCACAACACATTTTTCAGAATAAAGAAAATTTTCTCAGTTCCGGGCAGAAACCCCATGGAGGAGGACATGTTGAAACAATCTCGTTATAACCAGCCTCCCAATTCAAGTATAACACATTTTTTTGAGGAATGCTTGAAAGATTTTCAGTTTGAAATATTCTGAATAGTGCAGGTACAGTCTGAAATTTCTGATCTCAAATGTGACTGACTGATTCTTTTAATTGAAGATGGAATCAGTAATCAATGACGAACATGCTTCCAAGTGGTTCTATGCATCAATCTTCCGAAATTAAAACGATTTTCGCACTAACCTCCCAGAATAAAGAGTTGTGTGCAAATGAAGGAATGCATGATTGGAGCTAATATTTTTTTAAATAGATTACTCAGTTTTTCAAACAATATCAAAAAAATCTGAGGATGCCAGAAAAGGAAGATCGAGTGCATCAGCAGGTCTGATCTGAACATTTTTCCAGCTGTTAATTTTGAAAATATATTTATAATAACGTATTCAGTATACCATAACGCAATTTTTTCTGAAGTCCTCGTGAGTTCGTAGTTACGATATGTTACGGAATGTTCATCTTTTTAAAGTCTCCGGAAGCTGCGCTGATCACCTTTGGAGGAAACGCCAAGGCGCATCTGGCCCTGCAAACAGTGTTCGCGCTGGCCCACAAACACGGAGATATTCTGCGCGAAGGATGGAAGAACCTGCTGGAATGCATTTTGCACCTGTTCAAGGCGAAGGCTTTGCCGAAATGTTTGATTGAAGGAGAGGACTTCGTGGATCCGAGTGGAAAAGTTAGCTTGATCCGAGAGGACGCGCAGTCGCAAGCGAGTCAGCGAACGGATTCCGGGTTGTTGATATCGCTGTATTCTTACATTACCTCAGGTGGGTTCGATTATATTTCTACAAAAAGTCCATTTCATGTTGAAAAACAGCAGGGGGATTCTTGACCCGTGGAGTTGTAAATATGTCAGAGTCTCATGATTAAATAATCAGTCATTTTTATGTCAAAGGAGGGGAAATACAATGTTTATTTTGGATTTTTCGATGGTGGGACTCGTGTCTGGTGCAAGGAAATCCCTGACCCCCTCAGGGCAACAACCATGTCTATCAAAATGAGCTGAGGTAGATAAGATGAAAATTTTAGACAGGAAAACGATTTTATTTTCAATTTTACGTAAATTACACGATTGATGATCGAGATATGCTGGGTTTTTTCATTAAAAGACAGAACTTAAGAAAGGTCTAACAAATTTCCTCGCAATATAAATTGAAACCGCATACGATTCAGCTGAATAAACAACAATTATTGTTCAGAAAAAAATATTTTTCGGCGGAAGAAAAAAAATTAGCCCTGATTGACAGATTTTGCAGAAAAATTTGCAAAATTCACCCTAGCAGCTTTCTGCTCTTCAACCTTATAAAATGTTGTGCCCATCTCGCAGATTTTTTTTGTGTACCCTAGCTTTTCCTTCAGAATTCTTGAAATTGACGTTGCATTAATTCCCAAGAGTTCCCGCCATTAATTGACTATTACATTGTTTTTCAGCTCAATCAAATGCCGTTTCATTTTCTATTCCTTCCGCCGTTTTCATTGACAGCCGCCTTCACAGCCGCCACTTGACATGAGGATGTGGTGGCTGTGACGGCGACAGGTGATTGAAATGGCGGAATTGTCTAGATATACCTGGAGGCAACCCTTAGCATTAATTTCATGCCGATTTCAGGAATTCCGAAGGAGACGGTAGGCTAAACAAATGAAAAAAATCTGCATAATTGACACCAAGATAGTCTCTTTCGCAAAGCAGACAAAGCTGCCATGGTGACTTGCAGAACAAAATTCCAGCGAATGTTTCTTTTCTGAATAATTATTGTTTTTCAGCTCAATCAAATGCCGTTTCATTTTCTATCCCGAGAAACTTTGTATTTGCTTGTGTTTGGCCCATCGACAAAGTTGTGTTTTTTTAAGCATTGTATCAGGATTTTCCCCTCTTTTTTCATATCGTCTCTCGTGCATCAGACACTAATTTTGTCAGGACTATGCCCATTTTTAAACTCAGAATTACATTTTTTTGTAATTTTTTTGGGTGTGGTAATGAGTGGATCAATTTGTGCAATTAATTTGAGAAGGTCTCTGCAGATTCACGTTTAAAGCAAAGAGAACATTTTTAATTCGCCTCGTGAAATATTTTAAAACAAATGATGTTCCAGATGCCACTAGTACAAAGGGGCCGACGCCAGAAGAAGAGCAACTGCTCAAAGCTGCGAAAAACTGTGTGAAAGAATGTTACCCAGAACAACTCATTACTGAGTCGAAATTCCTACGCATTGAGTCACTCCAGGAATTGGTGAAGGTGAGTCGAATGCGTTTCCGCAAGACATTCCAGAGTTGATTGATTTGTATTCTCGTATTTACGAATTCGCAGGCTCTAATATTGGCGTCAGCACGCCAAGAACCAGGAGGCAACTTTGACGACAAGAGCACGATATTCTTTATGGAAATGCTCGTGAAAGTTGTGTTGCAGAATCGGTAGGTTTCCATGTCAGGCCCTGTGATTTACAGCATTGTTTCCCAACGTTTCTTGACCCACAGATCGGCAAATTTCGATAGAATTTTCGCCTACCAGTGGGATTTAAAAAAAAAATCCGCTATGAAGTCCTCCAACCAAAACTTTTGCAGTATAAATTGGGTTAAAAACAAGGAAGCAGCTTCGAGTGGAATGTCTTTAAAAATTGACTAGCTGGTTTTTTAAGAGAAATTTTGCAGAATGAATACTGGAATAATTTATTTCTGCAGGTGAAAATTGTCTGAAGCGTTACGAGAAAAGTTAGCCTTTATTTTACATTGGACAATTTCAGCTGCCATTGTCTTCCCAAAATGTCAGATTAAGATGACAGAATTTACTACCTTGAAAGAAATTTCCTTAAGAACATGTTTGCAGAGACGTTGCACAGCACTTTGGTGCTTGTCTAACGAACACTATTTGTTCCAGCCTGGCATTCCTTATATGAAACATTTTTAGGCATTGTCACGTTTCCCTTCTAACTTCATTGTGAAACCAATTAATTTGTTCATCATTTCTAATCCAATTTGTATTGACACCCGAAGTTGACTTTTGATTCATAGAAATGAAAAAAAATTCAGCTTGCAAAAATATTTCCAAAAATTTCTAAGACTGAGATGGCAATTTTTGTGTGGGAAAATTACACGAACTGCAGACCCAGACGTTTGCCAGGCAAGGCACAGTTTGTTAGGAGATTTTTTTGTATCTGGGCTGTGGGGTCTTGGCTTACAAACTTAATTGGGTCCTGAGAAAAGTTTGTTTGCTGAATAGTTTGTTTGCCAAATCATTTTTCACTTGAGGAAGTACAGTACAGGAATAATTTCGATTGGTTGCAGAACCTTGAAAATGCCCATCAAAATCAAGAGAATTCATTATGAAAATTCTTACCAGGCCTAAAATCCAAGGAATATTTCTAAGAAAATATAAGAGAAACAGTAATTCAGGTGCTATATAATTCACTTTTGACCTGTGTCTGTAAAAAAAGTAAGACAATTTATGCAGTGCCATATTTAGTTGAAAAATCATTTAAAAACATATTTGAAATGAGAATTCTGTACTGTAACATAATCAGATTGAGAGAGTTATCGGAACTAAAGCACAGATGTTAAATAAATAGTGTAAAAAATGTTATTTATGATTTCAACAATAATCACATAAAACAAGAAACATTCAGTGGGAAAGATCAACTGCTGATCCCAGGGACAAGGGATAGGCACAGTCATTTTTGGGGGTGCACATTCATATCCACTGTAGTTTGTAAACTGGGTCAGGGTTTGTTAGCTGGAGCACCTGAAGCCCAAACCTGAAGTTTTTTAACTGGAAAGTTTGTTCGCTGGGGCGTTTCAAGACCCCACCGTATTGGGGTTTTGTTGGACAAATCACCACTGTGTTGGTAATAATGAGAAAAATGCGATTGTTTTTTTTACCAGCGATCGGGCGCAAGCGGTGTGGAAGCCAGTGTGTGACCACGTGTGTGGCCTGATATGCAGTGCCTCTGGAGTCGGAGAAAGAGCCTTTTTGCTTGAACGCTGTGTCGTGAGCCTACTTTGTATGGCAACACGATTGATGCGGCGGGAAGAGCTCACTGGACAAATACTGGGTTCCCTCCGGGTTTTATTTGTTTTGCTCTCGCCCGACGCTCATTTCCGGTTCCCGACGCACGGGTGCTCTCTCAAGTTGCATCGAGAGATTTCCTTTGGTCTGCATGAATTACTGAAGACGAATGCGGCCAACATTCATTCGGGTCCGGATTGGACGATTTTGTTCTCGCTCTTGGAATGTTTTGGGGCAGGGGCCCGACCGCTGCCAGCACTGATTCCGATTGCGTTCAAAGGTCATCACGCCTCTAAAAAAGAAGGTGCGTGCGTCTCTAAAATGTGTTGAGGTCTTTCAACAAATGTGACTGATAGTTGAACTGCACGGTTTCGTAGACCTTCTCGTCCAACTTTTGTTTATGAATTGATGCTTATTTCGTTATACCGAGGGAAGCCTTTCCAGATTTTTCGGAATAATTACAGGGTCCTCTTTTACGGATAATTTTACATGAAGGCCAATCGAATGCCAGTGAAAAATCGTTCAAGAATGGATAAGATGACAATAATCTTGCAGATTTCGGTGGATATTGATCTTGATAATGGGTCTAACAGAATGGTTTGGCGAAAGTTAGAATCAATAGTTATTCAGGTGGATGATCATGTTTGTTGTATGTATGTATGTATGTTTTGATGTACAGTGGGTCCCTGCATAACAGAAGTAATCTCTTCCTGGATGTGTTTTGTGGTGCAAAATGCAATTCCCCTCGAGGTTAAATTATGAACGATTTACTGTAATTCATTCTAGAGTATCTAGACACTCACCAAAAGACCATAAGAAATTTTAAAAATTGTTCACCTTGCCTAGTTTCTAGCATACAATTGTTCATTTTACATGGAGTACTGTTAAATTTCAGTAATTCAGGCAATTGTGCACTTCAAACTTTTAAATTTCACAAATTTTGTGGACAAGAATGAGCAAAACGATGTTCTTCGTTGTAAATGTTTGTTCGTTTCAAAGTTTTAGCACAAAACTTCCGGAAATTTTAGCGGTTTTTGGCCGAAAATGTTTTGTCTACAACATTTTTGTTTTACGAGTCACTTTTTCCCCGTTGAAAAGGTTTTGTTGCGCGGATCTTTCGTTGTACGGGACTCATTATACAGTTGATCAGATGCCTGGTTAATTTGAGCTTCGATACTTGGGTGTTCTCATGTATTTACGGTAGCATAATATTGTTGACTGGTTTCTCACCAACTGCTGATCGTCCTTTTGAATTGCAAGTTTGCACACTCATTCATACCATAGTAGTGCGATACGTGTGGCAGATGGGATTATTTAAATTTGTTTATTTTAGGGCAAAACAAATTTGATTCAATATTCATTTGCTCATCGTTGTTCAATTTCAAGGCGTCACTGAATTATTTAAAAGGTCTCCAGTTTCTTCAAATTAAGGACCGCTTTCGCCGTGTACGCTATGAATCTCTGTGAGTGAACTTCACTCCCGACTTCTTTTTTTTCGAATTTTTGAATGCTGTTTTTTTTTCTTCTCTTAGAATCCGATTTATCGAGTTTTAAGAAAATCCTCAATTTGTTCGCACGAGCCTGACTTTTTGTTTTGTGAGTGGGCCGCATTCGTTATTGTATCGGACTTTATTTGCGACAGGCTTTGAGGAATCAGTGGGACGAGGCTCGTTGAGTGACGCTGGACAAACAAGTGCTGTGGAAAGCAGCAGCTGGTCTTCTGGCGACCGAGGTTATTTGTCCGACTCGGAAGTGTTTGAGCAAGGCAGTGCTGGAGAAAACCGACGTGGACGAAGGATGGAAGGTGCGATGAACCGGGTGCCGAGTGCGGATTTAGTTTACAAACCCTCGCCGCCACCGCCGCCGATTAACGATGATCCGACTCAGTCTTCAGGGTGGCTCTGGGTGAGTCAAACTTCCCCATTTCGTGATACAGTGATGGCCTCTCGACTCGTACAACGAGATCTCGTGTTTCTCCGTCAGAAAATGACAGAAAGCGATTTCACGAATTGAAAAATTGTTTGAATTTTCAGTCGTTGTCAAGTTTTGAGAACTGTGTCATCTCTGTGTAATTTTTGTCTCTTTGTTACTCTATTTTCTTCATCAAGTGAGTCTTGGAAATAGTTGTTCACGTAGGGAACTGTTATCAGTTCGAGTTGGAAACGAGTTGCCGTGGGGCCCCGAGATACGGACGTCGTTGGTGCTTGAACCTTCTCATTTAGGAACGTCCGCATGTCGGATCAAATTTTCCCTTAGACTTCAATGGGAATGTATTATGTATCTACAGTTATCGGTTCTCCTGCTGATCAAAAATTGGAAAAAGCTCCCCGAAAACAGAATGAAAAAATGTTTCTGAGCTTTAAAGCACAGGAAATGATAGTGCAGAAAAACACACTCATAATCTGATTTTTTGGCATGAAAATCAGCCCAAAAGCACAAAAAAAGCGCAAGTCTCCGTACACTGTGAAAAGAATGAATCGTGAAAAGAACTCCGAAAAAAAGAAGCCCAAAATAGCTCTGTTTTGGATTATGAACTATGTATGTTGAACTTATGATAAACTTGATTTGTAATATGTTTGATTATTGAACAGCTCCATTTTTTAAAAAGAGATATCATAATTTTGAAACATGAAATATTGTATTTCGGCTTGTCTACAAATGTTGGTCGTGTCCATATCTCGATACATTATCTGGATTCCGGGTCAGATTTTTTAAGTCATCAAGTGTCCCTAAGTTGAATCATCCGTATGTCAGGGCCCCACTATATTTCCTTTTACTGCCCTAGCATACATTTTTATTTGGAATCGCTTTTCATGCATGAAATTCCCTACAATGAAAAATCAGGTTCCTTTTGAAAGTGAAGTACAGTATTGCGCAGGTGTCCGTTCATTTTGCGTTGACGCCATATTTTTTCATCTAAAATGAAGGCAGATGTCGCTTGAATCGCTGACCTGACTAGATCTTCTGATCGATCGAGTCTCATAATGATGTAGTGCAATTCAGGCGAAAACTATCGTGTATGATAGATCAGATAGAAGATATGATTACTGTAATGTCAATTCGAAGAGTCTCGTGAAATATTTTCATGGTTTCTTCGACTCCTGTATTCATTCTTCAACTTCTTTGACTCAATCTTGCTTCAATCACTAGGTTGGGAAAGATGGCGAGATGGAGCCGGTAATCGTGAGTGCCTCGTCGCCACATCCCATTTTAGGCGCCCACGATCCCGCTGCATTTTTGCGAAGTTGCGACACGTTGACATTCCTTGTTCGGGATGCCGCCCACGTGACTCCGTTCAATTTCGCGGCGTGTTTGCGATGCATAAAGACGTTTGTGGAGGCCAGTATTGACACGGGATCAGTGAACGATAGATTGACTGGCAAGGAGCTGGGTAACTCGAGGAAGAAGAAGACTGCGTCCAATAATGCTGGGCGCCGTGGCAAGGAGTCTTCGCACGCGATGAAGGCCCGAGCTGCGTCTCCGACTGCTGGAGACTACAAATCTGGTGATGGTTCAGCGTATGATGCGGACGAGAGTGATTCTGATGACTTACCTGGAGGCTATCATCAGGCAGCCATACAGGTGAGACGATGTGCACTAACAACATTTTATGCCGAGGAAAAGGGAGTGTTGATTAATCACTGATTTAGTTCTATCTATGAGTTGAATACTCTGTTGACCAAATACTTCTCTTGTCTAGAGAAATGATGACGGGAATCTTTGAAAAGACTCGAAAGCTAGTATAAGTTATCGACCTTTCTTGAAAATGAATCACTCTTGCAACAAATCTCTAGAACTTGAAGCATTTTTCTGTGAAAATACTGTACGAAAAAAGACGCGTTCATTCATTGCAATTTTCAGACTGGGGGAAAAAATTAAATCGTCCCTGATTCCGTGTTCTTTTTCCTGAGTTGAAGTGAGCATCCGTTTCATTAATTCGTTATTTTATGTGATACTATTGTTCAGAACAATGGGTCCTTGAGTGATGAACATCTTTAAATGCGAACCTTGGTTTTGCCTCCATTTTGCTTTGAACAGCAAACTGGACTTCTATTGAAAAAGATTTAAAAAATCCCAAAATTTGTGTTTTCTTCAGAAATTCTGAAAATAAAAAGAAAGACAATTTCAAGATTTCGTGCCAATGTGCCTGAATTCCCAAATGGGAAAAGAATCAATCAAAATTTAATTCAAAGGGAATTAAAATCAGGAAAAATTCTTGAATTTTCTGTGTTTGTCTAATTTTTCAAGTTGTTGATTATTTTCGTTTCACATTTTTTGGTACTAAGATTCTCTATGTATTTTCGTCTGTTTTTTTAATTTTTCTTGCTCATTTTCTTCATTCTGTCTTTAGAATTTTTTTTTTACTCCGTAACCTATTTTACGATTTCTCATAGGTTACTAAGGGAAATTGTGCCTTCCATGACAAACGCCTTCAGCGATGAACTTTCTGCTGAAATGGATTAGGTTCGTCGCCCGAGGCCATGCTGTATTCAGAAATAAGTTCATACATTGAATTACAATAAAATAGAAGCATGACTCGCAGACTCGATGTAATGTCGTGCGAAAGGAACTGTATTTTTCCCTGATTTTTCAAGCTACTGGATTTGCTGCATACGTTGCACACGAGGGCAGCAAACATCTTCTCGTCGTGGGCAGAAGAAGGCGAAGCGTCAGTGTATCTAGAATCGCTTTGGGAAACAGCGTGGTGTCCATTGCTTCAGGCCATTGCGAGACTCTGTTGCGATCATCGGTGCCTCGTGAGGACGAATGCCGTCACTTCGTTGCAGAGGGCGCTGCTTGTACCGGACTTGCAAGTACTGACACCTTTGGAGTGGGAAGGATGCTTTCACCGCGTCCTGTTCCCGTTATTGGGCGAGTTGTTGGCGAGTGCAGGAAGCCCTGGGCTGAGTAGTCTGGGACCCGTAAGTGGCCTGGAGGAGACGCGTATGAGGGCGGCGACGTTGCTGTCCAAGGTGTTTTTGCAACATTTGACGCCGCTACTGGCCCTGCCGACGTTCACTGCGCTCTGGCTGTCGATTTTGGATTGTATGGAGAAATTTCTGAGCTGCGACAGCCGCACCGACCTCTTGGTGAGCGTCACTTGAAGGGGCGAAATTTTCTGCGAAAGTTGTCCCACTTGGACGCGACCTTGGTTATTTTTAGAGTAGGTATGACTGTAAGAAAAAATTATATAGCCCATGAATATGTTGTAACGTTCTAGGATTTTCAAAAAGAAAATTTCAATTAACTGCCGGATGATCAGCGACAACTTTCCAGTTTTAGCCAGAGACTCCACCCTTGTCACAGGGCGATGAAAAAATTCCATGCCGGCCAAAAAAATTTGATCTTGTTATTGTTTCAGCCGGTATCTTTTCTATACTGTATTTCAGATAAAGGTTAAAACAACAAAGGAATTTCAGTTTTTAGCTGGCCTGCCACTTTTTTAGCACCCTGTGACGTGGAAAACTGGCCGTAACTCGAAAGTTTTCACTTATCATGAGGTAAATTGGAAGGAAAGAAAATTTATTAACAGTTTCAGAACCTTATAAGGTTATGGGCTGTATCATAATTGTTTTCAAAGTCATGAATACTCTATGAATAACCAAGGTCGCACCAAAGGGGGACAACGTTCCTAGTAGCGAGAGTATTGGTGAACTGGGTATAGTGGAAGTTGTTGACGTTTGGTACACGTTAGGACTTCAAAGTGCAATTTAAAGAGTTCTATAATGTAAAGTATTTTACAGTGATGCCCCAAATGATGAAAGCCTCGAGTAATTCTATTTTTTTACGCAATTAACTCAAGCTGCTACCTTGCTAACTTTAAAAATTGAATCGTTGCTGAAAATGTGGCCATTGACCATATTTTGCGATAAGAAAAAATTTTTGTAATCAACCTAGTAGTTTGGGGAATCGTGATACCTGGTGAAGGTTCTTGCTTTGAAAAAAAGAAATGCCAAGAATAGTTGAACAATTTCGTGTTATTTTTTTAACCGGTTTTCGAATTATTGTTTCCGTATTACTCTTATACCAGTATTCGCTGTCCATTACTGTACATATTTCGGTTTTACTCTTATTATTGCTTTACATTATTTTAATTATTCTTACGATTTGCATTATTATTTAAAATTCTGATTCTAATTCTTGTACAAGTGGACTCTTTCTACAACAATCTTTTCTTCAACGATTTCCTCTGCACAACTAAATTTTCTTCATTCTCATAAACTTTTCTCCTCATGTTATAGGGTTTCTCTGCAAAAATATCTCTACAGCTAATTTTTTCTGGTCCCTGGAATTTTGTTTTAGAGAGAGTCCAACTGTATTTGCATTATTATTCAAAAATATAAATATATACTGTATATGAATATTTTTCAGATAATTTAATTTGTCGAAACTCTTTTTTTTCCATTGTATGAGGAAGCAAATATAAAAGAGAAATGCCACGACAAAAACTGTTTTGCTCAATCCGCGCGTAACCCATTTTTTGTTGTTGCTTCCAACTATTGTATTGGCAAGGGCGACCGAAATCATCGTGTGTTTTTTTTTCGCCAGAACGCCCTAAGTAACTTTTTGGAATGTCAGGCGGTTGTCGCTTGAATTGATGAAACGTTACCTGAAGGAAATGAATGCTGAATAAAATAAAGGGACGTATTCGAGCCAAACTTCGACCTAACGAAGCGTCACGAAATGTAGGATTGATGAACGAAAGTACCGGAGTTTTTAACGTCTAGCGTTGACGAGAGAAGAACGTGTTATTGCTTCATTGATCGAAAGCAAATGATTTTATGATGACAGTGTGAAGCCATCCCGGAGTCGCTGAAAAACATGCTCCTGGTAATGGAAACTGCTGGCGTTTTTCGTGGTCCTGAAGCAGGGTCACATAACCAGTTATGGGACCTTACCTGGGAACGTATATCTGCGTTCATGCCGAGTTTGAAAGAAGAGTTATCACGAGCCCAAATGCAGCGCCCTGTTTTGCCTCTGACGACGCCTGCAAGCGGTGCTAATGATGGAGAAAATTGGAGGAGGTGAGTCAAATTCCGCGGAGAAACTCTTTTCTGGTGCAGTTAGAGCTTTTCAAGTCGAATTTCAAGGAACCAGCGAAGAATTCGAGTTAGGGAAATGAACATTTTTGTTTTTGGAGAGAATGTGAATGGTGTTATTCTGTGCCTTGAATTGTTTCTGTAATGAGTTGAAAAAGTGCTGAACTTGGACGCACGGGTTCATTTGCTCAATTAGTCTTCCATTTCCTTTCATACACATCAATAAATTTACTTTTGCATTGCTTTTCTCTCTTCTGTTTGAGAGAATAATAGCCAAAACGTTTCAGAAAATTCCAGTTTTGGAGGTTTGAGAGGAAAGGAGTTCGAATTGGAAAAGTTGTCAATGCATTGTTTCTCAGGGAATTCAGGCAAAGATTAAAAAAAAATTGGATTTGGGGAGATTCGAATTATCTATGTTCACGTATAGTTGATGTTGAAATGCCACAAAAATAGATTGGATGGAGTACCGGAGTCGAATGTCAAATCTGTCGTGGAAACTGGCCTGTCGGAGTTGACTGAAGCTGTCGTGAGTGCTGCGTCGACACCTGCTACTGCGGTACAGCATCTACGCAAATTTCTCTCCATTGTATTTTATTTATTTTCAGTCTCATTTTTGACATTGTAGGACGAAGATTGCGGTAGCAACAGTGGAGGATTTGAAATTATTGGATCAGCGTCGACGACGTCCTCGTCTCCGATACCCGCAGTTTCCGAAGGCGATGCCAAAGATGGCCATCCGACGAATGGTGAGTTGAGTCTTTATTTGCACAGCGCCTTTTTTTCGATTTATGAACTCAGGGTGGAAGAGGGCTGTTAAAATTTTCGAAATTGTTGAGACAGAGTCTTCGTTCGTTTCATTCCTCCAGGCTCTGATTCCGATGTTTGCGACAAGAACGATGTTGATTCGTGCAACTTCGTGTAGAGTCCTGCTTTTGGATGATATACAAGTGCGTTTTTGAATCGTTTTCACGACGTTTAGAGGATGTTCATGTCTGTGCTGAAGATCAAGGTTATCTTGTTTTGTTTCGACTGCTTTTTTCGCACACTGCGGGAGGAAGGAGCGCACATTGACGTGATCTATCTGAATAACTTTGTTTGCTTATTCTGGTTTGCTGCGGGAGGACTCGTATACATAGCAGTCGAACCTCGATAAGCCGCCGCCATTTGTTCGTGAGGTTTACTGGGGTTGGTGGTTTATTAGGAAAAAGCCTAAATCATTTGAAAGTTAATTACTCTATGAGAGGAAATAAATCCTAAGTCCTCTAGAACAGTGTTTTTCAACCTTTCTGGGCCTGCAGACTGGCAAATTCCGCAGACCAGCGAATTTCCCAAACTATTTCTGTCAAACTTTCATAAAATGTTTGCTGACTCGAAAACGTTCTTGCTTGAAAGACTTCATGGCGGGTAATTACAAATTTTCTGCTTTTTTGGAAAGATTGTGGGCCCATTAAGTAGCTGTGTTGGAATTTCTTCCAAAAATAAATTGGTGGGCTTGAAGAAAGGTTCCTCAGAATGAAAAACTTGAAATAATTAATTTCAGCAGGTGCAAATGTGTCTGAAGTGTTATTAGAGCAGTCAACTTTATTTTTTCATCGAACAGTTTCAACTGCTATTGTCTTTCCGAAATTTCAGATGAAGATAACGGACCTTATTGTTTCTTTTTCTTTCAAAAAATGTGTTCTGTTGCAGAAAATTTCCCGCGGTCTGGCAAAAAAGTTCTGTATGGTTGAGAAACACTACTGATATGGAAGCCAAGAAAAGTAAATCTCGGAAACATAAATTAAGTCTAGCTAACGTTCCAAAAGAGGAAATCAGGTTCTCATTGTGTTCTTGTTTTTTTTTTTCATTGAAGAGAACTCTTTTGGAAACTTGTATCTTTTTAGCGGGCTATCAAAGACGAAATTTATTGGTATGTGAGTTGTCAATAATTCTGACGGATGGCGTTGGGAAGATTTATTTTTGAAAATATTAAAATTTGTCGGGGGTGGCGGCTTATTGGGGGCGTCTTGAAGTGGTTTGACTATAGTTTTCTTTTGTTGATCTGCACGATATTCGTGAAGGAGTTGTTGCACAATGTTTTTTTTTTCTCTTGGTTTGTTTGTTGGTATGTGGCAGATACACTAGTGGAGGAATCGGATGCTTTGAAAGAGGAGAAAGGAGTCGATGTCGCCAAGTGCAGTCCGTTACCCCTGCTGTTGACCCCGCACTTGATTGAGCCCGTCGGATTGCCCGTCTTTTCGCCGCAACACTATTTCGGCGCCTCTTCGAATGACGGGTCGCCTGGGGACGATTTCCTCTCTGGTTCGAAGCATTGAGAAAAAGAGAGAGGGAGAGAAAGTGTGTTTTTCTTTTTGATTTCATGCGGTGTTGGGATCATTTGATTTGAGTTTCCATAAGAAAGAGAGGGAGAAAGGAAAAAGAAGGTGCGATTGGGTTATTTTTCCGGTTCAGTTTTGTGTCGACCCCGTATCGTCTTGTCGATTGATGCGATTCATTGTGATACTGGAATTCGTTATTCATTGGAAGGAGAAATAAGATATTGCATCGGATGACGGTATTTATGAAATCATATTTTTTGCGCTGATTGATTTAGATTCTCGTATGTTTTCTCAATTGTAGAATGAATATATCTATTTAAAATGTTTGATATTTTAGCCCCCAGGCGGAATTGCATTGAGTGCTTTATTTGGTTTTCTGCTACACCGCGAGGAGAATGAATACCAAAATGGCAGATGGAGCCTCAAGTTCTGTTGGTGGGGTGAGTGAAAACTGATAGATTCTGTAAGCTTTCTTTTGCATGGAAAGTAAATTACTGGACTGTGTGTCGTGTAGTATGCGGCATTCCAATTGAGAAGGTGCTCGTATATTTACTCCCGTCTTCTTCACGCGAGGAAGAAGTTCATATTACTTTATTGAAGAGTTCAAATGTACTGCAGTTGCAACTCGATAGCTTGAACCTCCTCAAGTCGAATCCGGGTGCATACAATTTTTAAAGTTTCTGTCTGGATTCCCTTAGAAACAATGCATTGAAATCCTCCCAACTTGAAGACTTTCCTCCTCAAACCTCCGTATCGCGAAATTTCTGGAGGACTTCTAGCTATTATTTTATTGACGAGAGAAAGAGGATAATAATAAAATTTCAACTTGATGTGTTTTGAAAAAGAAGTGGAAGACCCTTGCCTCCAAGTTCAGCATCCTAGTGAACTCATCTAAGAAGAAATTGAAGGCCTAGAATTTTACCAATTGCGATTTCCTGTAATTCTTCATGTCCCGAGCTCGAATTCTTGTTTATCTTAATCAATTTTTTTTGCTGGTCCCTTGAAGTTCCGTATGTATATTCTCCGTCAGTCACAATGAATCTCATGCAGCTATTCCTTTTTTTATCGCAGGGTAATGAAACCACGGAAAAGTTGAGCGATTCTGAGTCGTGGAAACAGTTGATCGACCTTTTGACTAGAATGTCGGACGGTATCAGTCGTGAACTTCCACCAAATCATGCCCGAGAAGCACGCCCTGGATCACCGAGTTCTGCAAAGAAGCCAAAAGTTGACAATTTTGCGGAATTTGAGCTTCCTGCATTGTACGTTGTCGTCTGTGAAGCTTCAGTATTGATTCCTTCAAATGATCCTTGTAGTGTTCGGTAATTGCAGCACTATAGGTCATGTTTCACGCGCTCCGAAACCCACGAAAATTTGAATATTTTTTTGGGAGATATAAAGTCAATAGTTGGCAATAATCAAGTGGTTAATGTCAAGTCGTTGACCCGAGGAGGCACCAATTTTTTTTTATTTCTAAACACGAGCAATACCAAAAATGGATCCTGTTTTTCTCCGATTTGTCTCCAGGATGTCAATGAGTTTCAATTAACCTATCATACCATCCCACCCTTTTCAAGTTAGTGCTCGTAACCCTCTGTAGTGAGGTCTTTGGTAATGAACTAGGTCCGTTTCTGAGCAAAGAGTGTTACTTAAATAATTCGTTAGCAAAATCACGTTTTCCCATAAGTACAGGAATAATTTTGCTTGGTTCCAGAAACTTTGAAGGGTCAATGAATTCAAGAAAATTCTTCGAAAAACTTCTTACCTTCCCAAAAATCCGGTTTAAATTTGTATGCAAGTACTTCATAGTGCCTAGATGATAAAAGCAAATTTGAGAGCATTTTCAGGAAACAGTACAAAAGGAAAATTATAATCTTGAAATAAAAGGCGAAATACAGTAATTCTAAATTATTCTATCCGAGTGAAATCAAATTCAATCATTACTGTCAATAAAGACAAATACAACAGGAAATATTTGTATGTTAATTTCTGACGCACAGAATAAAGGGGTGGACATTTTGCAAGGTGCTTTTTAAAAGCCAAAAAAGTTTGTATTTAGAGTCAAAGTTTGTGAGCTTAAGCAACTAAGGCCCGAAAGCAAATTTTGTTAGCCAGTGTTCGTTTGTTAGCTGAGACCCCACTGTTACTGGAACGTATATCAACATTTTTTTTTTGCTTAGTAGAACATTGATCATCCTTTCCATGCCTCTGTTTTTTTTGTCTGCTCAGGTTCAGGAACACTAGGTCCAATACTAAGGAGGTGCTGGCAGTGGCTCTTATGCTGGATGGAGTGGATCCTAGGACTCCTATTCCTGAAAACATGCTGTGGAAACATGATGCTTGGTTTACCCGATTGGGCTCCAACTAGGGCATGACAACTGTTCGAAGTCATCTGGTCCTCCTTAACTGAGTTTACCTTAGTTGAGTTGAGTTTTCTCCAGAGAAATTGAGGGAAAAAAGAATAAAAAGCTGTCCTGTTGACAAGAAACCTACTCGACCGATTTTAATGCATGAAAAATGCAATCCTATAGTGATTCCTTTTAAGAATAGAGTTGAATCTCGATATCTCGAACTTCCTCCTGAGTCGAATCTTTTTCTCGAGTCCCTGTCAGAATTCCCTTGGAACCAATCCAGTAAAATCCGTAGGTCGAATTTTCTGAAAACCTTTTGTCCGGTAATTTGTTATTTGATGAAGAGAAAATCAATAGAAGTTTGACTTCATGCGTTTTCAAAAGAATTGAAAGTCTAATTGGGCAAATAAACCCTTGCCTTCAACGTCATCATCTCACCTACTCTTCGAAGAACCAATTTAAGGCCCGGAATATCACTAAATATAATTTCCTCCAATTCTTCCCTCTTTCCCTTTGTCTAAAACTGCCTGTTTTACTAAATCGAATTCTTTTGATGGTGAGTGGAAGTTTCAATTGAAGAGGTTCTCCTGTACCCATCAGTCAACAGGTTTCTGTCGTGAAAACATGAATCATTTTAGGTGTATTGCTGACGCCCGTGAGATTCGTTGTCACGTATTTTGTACTGCAAACGATGTAGTCGTAATGTCATAATTTTTGCAACTGTTCCGATACTTCAGAACGCTTCAGCTCGCAGATGTGTGATACCTGTCAAGGAGGTAAGATGTTAAAGTTTGCGAATCCAGCAGTCGTTTTGAAAAGGGGCGACTGCCGAAGAAAATCTTGATTTACTCATTTTTCGTGTTCATATCTGTCGATGCAATCCATTGTGATACTTGATTTTGTGATTTTTCGAAAGGAAGAATGATACAACATGGAATAACCGTGTGAAAATATTTCTCGTTTTGACTTGAATGATATTGATTCTGCGAAGTTTTGAGATTTCTAGATGCCCCTTTACAAGAGAAAAAAATCTGATCTTGCGAAGAGGTCGACTGCGAAAGAAGAGTTATTTTTCGGGTTCTGCTTTGTCGACCCTGCCTCGTGTTATCGATTGGTGCAATGCATTGTGATGTTGGATTTTGTGATTCTTGGAAGAAGAAAAAAAGAGGTTTCATGGGATTACCATTTTCAAGAGATCAGCATTTTCCTTGTATCGCCTTTTGAATGGTGCAGATTTGAGTGACGATTTTGTATCCTGTGAGAGGATTTTTTTTTTTACTTTCATTCTGTTGTATATTTCAGTCTCTAGAAAGAATTATGTTTATTGTGGGATTTCGTTTGCTTGCCTGATTTGGTTTCCTGTTCCCGCGCGCCACGAGGAAAATGAAGCCCAAGCCGTCGGAGGAAACCTCACCGCTGCAGAAGATTCCGTGCTCAGTGGGTGGGGTGAGTGGAAATTCCAATGAATTTAGTACTGCTCAGGTTCATGCAAAGTTATGGAGAAAAGTGATTGCAAAGGGTGTTCAAAATTTTTTTAGCAGTCGTACGTGGAAATACGAGTGATATTTCCGTGATATATTGTGTGAAAGATCTGTGAATTTTAATTTCCACACCTTAAATCTGGCTTCCTAAGCCGGGCAAATTGCCATTTCGTTTTGTATGCTCTATTATAAAGTAAAATTGCGTCACAGCGAATCATGTTACGAAAAATTTTTCTTGGGTCCCAGCAAGTTTTCCACGGGACCAATGTTGGAAAAACCACCTTTTAACAAGATTATTTTAGGCTGTACTGTCAGCACAATGAATTTTTGGCACTGATTCTGTGCTTGGGTCATGAGGATTATGTGATACAGTACTCTGCAGAAAAACGGAAAAATTAGCTTTTGCAAATCTTCCTGCAGAGGAAATGTAGTGTTCAAGAAAATACACAGCATGCCATCTCTTGAAAATTCTTCACCGCAATTCGGAAATGCCCTTCTGTTATTTTGAAGATACTGTAGATAATAATTTGCGAAACAATATTCCTCTATACAGACAGACATGGTGAATGAGTTGATTGGGAAGAGTGCTGTATTTCTCACACATTAAATTTTGCCTAATTTTATTTCGAAAAAACAAACAGCAAATTAGTAGAGAGATAATTCCAGTCTGGGAGAAGTACGTGTAAAAATAAAAAAAATTGCCTCATAATTTCTCGAGAGACTTGGATATTATGACAGATGTTGAATTATCTGGTGCCAAAGCAATTAACCATATTTCTTAATTTCTCATCCATTTCCTAGAAAATTTCAGTCTAAACCGTGTTGAAAGCCATGAGTATCTGTACAGCATATGTTTCATGATGAAGAATTTTCATCAGGTCCGTGCGAGTTTGTTGTAACGAGATTTAACTGTATTTCGTATATCTTATTGTTTACAGTAGTTATTCAGTTGGGCAATTTCATTTATACTGACGTGTACGAACACGTTGATTTACGTCAAAATGTCATTGATATCTTTTGGAAATTCTTCGCAGGTTGATGAAACGAGGAAAAAGTTGAGTGGCTGCAAGTCGCTGAAAGACTTGAAAGCCCGTCTGACGAACCTGTCCAATGATACCAGCCCTGGATCTCCGTCTAAACGTTTGCAACAGGCGCTTTCTGGAATGCAATGTGTCTCTGGATCTTCGAGTCCCGCGACGAAAAAATCTGAAATCCAGGAATTTGGTGAACTTTTGATTCCTGCGAGGTACGTTTGTGTCTGTAAAGCGTCATTCGAGTTCTTGCATTTCCTCTTGGGGATATTGTTATCAAATGCTTGATCCAGGAGTCAAAAATATCAAGACGCGCGAAAAGTTCGTTATTTTTGAAAAGGATGGTCCAGAATAAAAATAAATAAAACGTGCAATTTTTGTGAAGCGGTGATGAAATTCCCTGCGTCATCCTGATCAGAACAAAATATGGCCCCCTGGGAAACAGAGGAATACGTTTTCGACCTTTTTTCAGCTCTCCTATAACCCCTATTTACTCGATTACCACGCGCCCTGAAGTAAGACGTGCATTAGGGTTTCCCTGTCAAAATGTGTTACGAAATTTGTATCCCCGAGTAAGACTCGCATTCCATTTTTACCGACTGCAAAATTGAAATATGTTTTAATATAAAACCATTGAAACTTGCATTTAAACGTGAATTTATCCTGATTTCAACAAATTTTCAATTATTTCCATTACCAAAAAATCTTTTTCTCTTTGAAACGTTTTCTCGGTAAAATCGGTCTTGAATTTCCCATTAAAATCAAACAATGTTGAATGCAAGCCGAAACTTGTGAATTCTTTTGAAAATGCACACCGGCCGACGGGCTCCCTGTTTTTTCCTATATATTTTGAGAAAAAAAGGGTGTGTTGGTTACTCGAGTAAATACAGTAAGTTATTTTTGATTGTTTCACTAATAATCGAACGGACGAAAAGAGATAAAAGAATCCTTATCGTGGAGATGCAACAATAATGGTTTGTCCTTAGAAGGTAGTGCATTTTTTCCCGATACTAAGGCAGAAATAAAGAAAGTTGGAGCGGGTTTCGTTTCCTCTCCCAAGCTCCAAACATTTGCGCAAGAACCTCGAACTTTGCTTTTCGGAATGATGCGATTTTACATGATTGTATTTATGCTATTTTCATCATTACCGTTAATTTTTCGGTCTTGTAACCCGTGAAAAATTCCTGTACTCTGTATAAACAGTTTTTTGTCCTCACAGTCCTGTCAAGACGTCCTCGTGCTCCCCGTTCAAGTTCGCGTCTGTACGGAAGAATCTTCGACACGATATCCCGAATCCTGTGTCACCTACTCGCTTGTACGACGATCGTGAAATGCGAACCACCTACGACCCGTTCCCACTGCCGCATCACATGCTGGAATTGGAAGAACGATTCAAAGATTTCGACTATGTCTTGTCAGTGGCTCACGGGCGATCGAGGAAACCAGTCCCGCTTTGCTATCTCCGTGACATGATCAAGAGTATGAAGAACTGGCCGGTGACGCATTTGATTCTGGCCAGGTTTCGCACGGTGTATCCGGACGCGTTTGTTGCGACGAAGATCGGAGAGGGCAAGGACGACGTGACGGTGTTGCCGGTGTATGACGAAGACGTTAGCCCGAGTTTGCTTGTAAAGCGTGTCAAAGTGTTCAGGGAAAATCTGATCGAGATTGCGAAATTGCGTCATGATGTGAGAAGGATTTTTCATCTACAGTATATGTAAAACCTGGATTTTGTGCCATAATTTGTTCTGGCACATTTTGTGATACTGAATCGACGGTATTCTATGAAAGGAGGTTACGTTTAGGGTCTCAAGCTCTCACCTATTGGAATAGATTGTACGCTTGTTTACAGTATTTAAAGGCCAATGGTTTTTTTTTAAGCAAGAAAGCCGCAAGAAATACTTCGAGGCTCAAATGCTCTTTCGTTTTAATTAGAATAGGTTTTCCTATTGAACTTGGTCCGAAAATTCCCATGAGAACCAAGCATAATGCATACCTAAATTTCTGAAACTTCTTGAAAAATTTATACCCGCTCATGACCCTTTTTTTCCTCTCAAATTTGAGAAAGAAGATGCGCGTGGTACTACAGTAAATACGGTAATACTGTGTGACATCGTGTGCCCAGTAAAATAGTCGAGGTGTTTTTTGTTCTTTGAGTTTTATATTGGGTACCTTTTGCTCAGAAATCACCGATATTTCCCTGGTTAGCTTGCCCTTTATTTTAAAAATTTCCTATGGAGGAAGTTGCCATTGAACAACAAAAAAATTCCGAAGTAAATTCAGAAATAGTGGTTTTTTCTTTTTCTTCTTTTTGAGCATGGATATGAGAATTGTGGATTGGCAATCCACATTCTCAATAATTTTCAGTAAGAATCCCATGGTTTCCCTTGAAAAATGCCTCAATTTCTTCGACTTTGTCCCCTTTTTATTTATGAGAGGGAATTTTTTGTGGCTCCAAGTAAGTCGACACTAAATCGGGGTTTCCCTTTAGAACGCAATGACGGGAGATGTGTTCCTGGGAAATTTGTGACATTAGAATCCAGGGTTTGACTTGTGTGCGTTTGAAATACTGTAACGTGAGATTTTCCTTCTAGGTGTTCCTAAAGAGCTTGAAACCGCAAGTAATGGTATGCATTTCTGAAGTGCGTCGCTGGCACCCTCAATATCGGTATGACACCATGATCCAAGTAGATCCCGCGGCAGATTTTCCGCATCTTACCGAAAGTAAGTCCGAAAACTTTCCCTCTTCGGAACGGATTTTCCGTAATATAGCTTGTACTGTATTTTGTAAATTCCAGTTCCCACGGAAAAGCCGAGGGTGAAGAGAAATCTGTTCCAGACGACGGAAGAGGAGACAAATCAGGACGTGTCTCTTCTTTTTAATGAATCTCTCTTGGAGAAGATACGAAAAAAGGAAACTGAGGCTCATCGGAGATTCATTATGAGGTCAGAGGAAGACGCTAAGCGTTTGCGAATGATGCAGCGTCTGCCGGAAATCGTTCGTGTGCTGCATCCGATTTTCGTCGCTGCAAAGTTCAAGTCGTTGATGGTGGACGATGTTCTTGAGAAACTGAAGCTGAACTTCCCTGCTTTATTTTTGAAGGGTGAGGAAAATTTATTTGGAAGGTTTTTTGCTGTGGGAGTGTTGAAATTTAATTCTTGAATACTTACTGAACGGGGTAGCAAATTTTGTACGGATTTTCAATGAGCGAAATCAGGAAATCTTGATCAAATGAGAGGATCAACTGCATGAGAGGATCACGAGAACTTCATGTTCGCGAATGATTAGCATTTTTAATGTCAAGCTGTAATGCCCTAGATCCCAGATTGGGTTTCCTACTGATTTCCGGTCTTCGGATACAATACTGACATATTTCTCAATTTTGGTAACTTGTATCAATGTGTAGCACTTTCAAATGGACCGAAGTAACCAAACCTGACCTGTGAAAATTTGATAGTGAACTATTCGAGAATAATTCAATTACCAGTATCTTTCATTTGTCATCCAAGTACTGTATGTTAGGTAAGGAAACGTAGACTCTTGCGTCATTTGTATGTGATATAATATACAGTACAGTATATTCTGGTGCATACACATGAAACACACAAATAACAGTATAGAATCTATGAAGGTTTCTTTCAAAAATATGTGAGAAAGTTTCCCTGAGAACACACTTCTAAGGTAAGGAGGATTCCGATTCGTACTAGGTCAGTGGGGTGCTTATGTAAAATACAGTATGAGTGAGGATATTTCAATAGAAAGCCTTAGAATTATTTTATGTGCATGAGGAATGATTTCAAAGCTATCCTTACTCACGTAGGAATCAATAAAAGCAGGATTTCTGAAATTTCAAAGCTGAAACTCAAAGCTTAGTGAGCCAGTTTTTAGGGGATGCAAAATTACCCATAATTTTGCAACAAAGAACAGCTTGGGGAAATTGTCCTTGCAGTTTTATGGGAAAGTTTCCAGTCTAAATGATGAGGATTTTCCTATGATATTTGAGTCAAAACATTTCACGTGTTTCGGGAGCGACTGTGTATCGAGAAAATTCAGGGATATTTAGGATAACAAATTCAACCCCACGTTCAGCAAAAAAAAAACTGCTGTTTCGTTGATACAAGATTTCTCTCAGAAGATGGTCCCAAAATTCTAAAGCCTCTAAATATTTTGTCGTACATTGCACATTAATGTTTATTAGATGAATGAACGACATATCTTTGTTATTTATCCACAGAGGTTTTGATGCAACATCTTGAACTGCTGTCTGATGAAACGCAAGAATACAAAGTTGATGGAGCCCCTGCTATATCCTTGCTGGGATTGAGAAGCAATGGGAATGTCAAATACCTCCGGTTCAACAGCGGCATGAAAGTCTCTGAAATTCAGTCACTCTTTGAGAAGAGAATCGCAGTTTTGGAGAAGGAGTGAAGACAATTGTTCTTGTTTTTCCTCGTTGCAGAGCACGTCTTTGTTCACTGTTAATTTTTCGCCTTTTTGTACGTTGAAAATTGTTTTTCAAGTAATGCCGAGTCTGCGGAATGATTGAGGAACGGCCAATTTTCTCTTCGGCGTTGATCTTTTTGTACTTTTTTGGATCGAATCGACGGATGGGTTCTTATAGGAATGTTCGTTCTTACCATGATCATTGGCAGGGTGTTGGAAATGAATCCATTGGATTTTTACGGTTTCGCGTAAAAGTGATGGATTTTCTTTCAATTTTATTCTGCCTGACGTCTGAGGTAGCATTATCATAACAGGTCAATTCGTGTCCGTATCATGCATTTGAACGATAAAGTTGTTCTTATTACGGGGGCCAGTTCGGGAATAGGTGCAGCAACAGCTGGGCGTTTTGCCGCCGAAGGCTCAAAAATAGCGATTGTTGGTCGCAACGAAGTTAATCTTCGTAAAGTAAGCAACCAATCTATAGATTGTGAAATATGGTGAAATCTGGCATTTGTCTTCTTTTCAAAGGTTGCGGAAAAGTGTGAGCTCATGAATGCCAACCACAAGCCACTCGTCATCGTTGCCGACGTCACGAAAGACGATGACGTCAAGAGGATTGTGAATGAAACTCTCGCGCATTTCGGTGCTTTGGACGTGTTGGTCAACAATGCCGGGATTCTGGCGACGGGATCCATTGAAAACACTTCTCTGGAGCAATTCGATTCAATCTTCAACACGAATGTTCGTTCTGTGTATCATCTCACGATGCTCGCTGTTCCGCATCTAGTCCAATCCAAAGGGACCATCGTGAATGTTTCCAGTGTTGCTGGACTGCGAGCTGTGAGAGATGGAACGTTTCTGCACTTCGTTTCGTTGGATTTTTCGCATGCTGAGATGTTATTGCTGTTATTTTTTGCTTTAGTTTCCCGGTATCCTTGCGTATACGATGTCCAAAGCGACCATTGACCAATTTACGGCTGCCTTGGCGTTGGGTGAGGTTTTTTGATGCGGTGCTTTCATCAGTCCTGATCGACTTACGCCGGTACTGGTATTTTTGCAGAGTTGGCGCCGAAAGGAATCAGAGTTAATGCCGTGAAGTGAGTCAAAACTAAGATGCAATATTTTTGATAAGATTGGATCTTCGTTCGTGCGATACATTAAAAAAAATTCAATTCGGATTTTCTTGCAAGAATTTTTCATTTTCATGTGAACGAAAGGAACTTCCTATTGGTTCAAGACGTAGTTCATGAAAATTAGAATTGTTGAATCATTTTGTGCACGGTCGAAATGTCGGGACAAACACTAAATTTTCATGAACGAATGCGAAACTTCGAATGGTCGAAGCAAGATTTTACAGCTTAGCATAATTTTCTTCTATTGATGTTCCGTGCTGATGAGCAAATCGATTTTGTGGAAATTCTCGGAAAACTCCGTAACTTCCTACATTTTTCCGTTTCCGAGTAAATGATGCTTTTTCTTGATGAGATTGGAACTTCGATTGTGCGAGTCTCATTTCTTCAAGATTCAATTGGGATTTTTATTTGCAAGAAGCGTTCGTTTTCATGAGAACGAAAGGAACTTCCTATGGTTTAAGATGCATTTCATGAAAATTAAAAGTGTTACTGTGCATCATTTGCGCACGTTCGAAATGTGGCAACAACACTAAGTTTCCATGAACAAATGCTCAAAATCGAATTGTCGAAGCAAGATTTTGCAGCTTTGCGTAGTTTTCTTCCATTGATGGTCCGTGCTGTTGAGCAAATCGGAAATTCTTGGAGTAACTCTGTAACTTGTTGAATCTTTCGATTTCCGAGTAAATGATGCATTCTCTTGCAGTCCTGGAGTGATCGTCACGGAGATCCATCGTCGTGCAGGAATGAGTGAGGAAGCTTATGTTGAGGTGAGAAAATATTTGCCTTGAGTTTAATAGCCAAAATGCGGACTGTAACGTGAATTGATTTGTACATTCATACCTCTTCAAGTCAAACTTCAAGGGGCCAGAAGAAAAATCATGTTGAGGAAGGTTTAGGCTTGGGAAAAACCCTTTTTTCATATTTAAAGAAAGAAGATTTGCAGAAAGTTTTAATTGATGATATTCTGGGCATTAATCTGATTTTTAAATGAATTCACAGGATGCTGAACTTGGAGGCAAGGGTTAATTTTCCAATTATTCGTTCACTTCCTTAGAAAACGCGTCGAGTTTCTTTTTTACTGCTTTTATCTTTCCTATGTCAATAGAATAATAGCCGAAAATTCTCCATCAAAATTCGAGTTATGGATGTTTGAGAGGGAAAGCTTTTGAGTTTGGTATGCTTTTGATGCATTTTTATTCAGGGATTTCAGAAATGCACTTGAAAAAAGAAGTGAAACATGGAGTTATTCGCTTCGGGAGGTTCAAGTTATTGAGTTTTGACAATATTTGTAGTTCTTGGAGAAAGCCAAGGTGACGCACGCCCTGGGAAGACCCGGAGAACCAGAAGAAGTTGCAGAATCCATTGTATTTTTGGCCTCTGACAAATCTTCGTTCATCACTGGAGCATGTTTACCCATCGACGGAGGACGCCATGCCATGTGTCCGCGCTGAAGAACAGCGAACAGTGACTTTCGATGATGAAAGGCTTCTGAAGTTTACGAGTTAAATGCAGAATGAAGCTTGGTCTACTTCAAAATTCTCAATATCGCTATGGAACCCCGGTTTTTTCGCGAAATGTTATGCCCTTGCTCAGCAGAAATGTCGCATGAGTCGCTGCAGATAAAAAGGGGATTTTTCCGAAACGATTTCGGGGTGTCTTTCATGCTGATCTCCATTTTTTTTTATGATGGCTCGTTAAGAGATGATTTCACGTCACTAACTACTGATAACCAAGCTTCACTATCGTTTGACTCTAAAAAATTGGCTTCATTAATTACGGGTCTGCGCTTTATCCTTCGTGAGCATGTGCATTTCCGCGGGACTCGCTGTTCCAAGTGATTTCAATGTCGATTTTGAAATGCCTGCGAGAAATCATTCAGTTCTATTGCAGACGTACTCGCGGCGAGACAATGGGTGTGAAAGATTTGTGGAATATTTTGAGCCCGGCGATGGAGCAGACCACAGTGAATTCGTTGCGTGGCAAGTGCATCGCGGTCGACCTGAGTGTGTGGGTCTGCGAATCCTCCACGAGTTCATGGGCTCAAACGCAATTCGTGAAGAACGCTCACTTGAGGACTCTTTTTTTCCGCGCCGTTTTCCTCGCCGGCCGCGACGTGAACCTGGTGTTCGTCACGGATGGCGTGGCACCTGATCTCAAGGCTGACGTCATGGCTGAGCGGAACTCTCGACGAGGTCTGGCCACTCAGGCGAGCGATGCGCCGAGGACTCGAAAGCACTTCGCTGGCGTCATCAAGAAGGTTCGTTTTTGTCCGTCGAGAAACAGTCGTGTGGTTCGTTGAAGATGACCAAGTGAATCGGTTGTTCTTGTTATACCTTTTGTGTGGCAGTGCGTGCGAATGTTGGAGATGATGGGGTTTTGCTGCGTGGCCAGTGACGGTGAAGCGGAATGCACGTGCGCGCATTTGGATTCCGAAGGAGTGAGGCCATTTTTATTAAGTATAAATGACATTGGGGCCCCGAGATGCGGACGTAATACCTATGTCGAAGCGTCCGCATGTGGGATCACGTTTTCCTACAGACTTGAAAGCGGTTTTATTTGATTAATTCTTTTATTTATCAAAAAGTAGGAAAAAGCACTCTAAAACTGGAGACGAGCAATTTTTCTCATCCTTGAAGTATAGAAAATGACCATGCCGAAAAAACACACGTACAGTTCGTGATTTTTTGGCATGAAAAGTAGCTCAAAAAGCAAAGAACGATCATAAGTCTTCATATGCTGTGCTCAGATGATGGAAAGACCTGTGAAAAAATAAGACCAAAATTCACCTGTTTCGAATTATGAATTATTGTGAATTTTTAATCAAGTCCGTTTTTGACTTTTGTGAATATAAAAGCTCAATTTGTTTGAGAGATATCGAAATTTTGAGAAAAAAATTATATTCGTCTAGAAATTTTGGAAGTGTCCGTATCTTGAGACTTTTTCCAGAAGTCATGGCAAATTTTTTTGATTTTCAATGTTCAGTAAGTTTTTTTTTTAATGATTCCTCGGCGTGTTTTTATTTTTTCTTGTTTGTCAGATTGTCGACGGCTGTTTTACTCAAGACAGCGACGCATTTTTGTATGGTGCAAGAACTGTGTACAGGAATTTCCGGATGGTAAAGCAGCGTGGTGGAGGTGGTGCGATTTTCGAGATGTACACGGCGAACAGGATCGAGGAGTTGCTTAAATTGAATCGAGAAAGCTTAATCGCTGCGGCTTTGTTGCTGGGCTGTGATTACGATTCCAAAGGCGTGCAAGGTGTTGGGAAGGAGAAAGTGCTCAAGTTGCTCACGGAGATTTGGATTGATGAAAATCCATTGGAGAAGTTCGTTTCTCTTTTCTTCTTCTTCGCTTCTTTTTCTTCCGGGAAAACTCATTTCTTGATGTTATTCCGTGAATTTGATTCGTCACAAAATCTAGTGTAACGTTTGAGGGGTAAATTGTTTTGCTTTCAAGTACCGTTGTCATGAAGGAAAACCTCCTCTTGGTCGGCATTTCTCTCATTACTGAATGTCCCGCACTCCTTCGATTTTCTTCGCCATTATGTAGGTGTCGCCGCAACAACGTACAGTATTTGCTTGTATTTTTTTTATTTTTTCAGGTTTCCTTTTCCTTATTCGCGGATATCGTGTTATTTTTATTTAAGACTTGGTCAAGCATGAATATATCTGTTCTCATGACGTAGATAGAAACCTATTTTGGCCTGCAATTTCAAGGCTCTCATTCTCGACAATTTCTTCGCGAGTGAATGACCCTGCGGATTCTTCGGATGTATTCTTTTGCCAGCTTAATATCTCGAAGACATGCAACTTAATTCCTGATTTTAACTCGGTTGCAGTATTATTGGATTGATTATGTTGGGAAGAATCCGTTTGATATGAATGTATGTCAATAAACATTGCGAGGGATTGTTTAAATCAGAAGCCGTATCAAAACGCTTGCAAATGTAAGTCTAAAGCTGCCCCTTGAATTGAAGTATCCAATTTCGAAGAAAAAAGCGCTTCATGAATTTGAGGAAAGTCAGTACAAGGGTTGATTCGTACGTTTTGAGACTTACTGGAAGAGATCCAACCGAGTTTCGAAAATTTCAATTGTTTTTACTCGCATAGCCCTATGATTTTGCAACACTTGAGTGCTGTGCAATACTTTCCGAAGATTTCAATGCATTTTTTCATGCAATAAATCCAACGATCAGAATATCGCCAAAAATCAAGTTCCGTTAGTTCATTAAGCTGCTCTTTGACAGCGGAAATGAGGCTGTTCCTGTCTTGAAAATCAATCCCTTTCAGGTCGTCATTTACTTTCAGGAATAGCCAGAAGTCAAACGGCGCCTAATCAACTAACGAAACTTGATTTTTCTCGCTGTTTTGTTTGTTGAATTTATCGCATAGAAAAATGATTGAAATCGGCTGGGAGAATGTTGAACAACAGTGAAGTGTTGCCAAAAAATGGGGCTGTGCGAGTAACAATTTTTTGGGATTGTTAAAGCTAATTTGATCTAATGCGGAAAATCTGAAAACTTATGAATCAACCCTCGTATGTTGAGTCAGTTTGGGTCCCGAGTTTATTTAGATTCGCTTGGGTGATTATTTATTGAGTTTGTCATTGAGGGGTTTCCTTCCCTCTGGCATTCCAAAAAATAACAAAAGCCCTTACGTTTGTACCCTTCTTCAATTTTTATTCATTTTTTTCAATGTAGGCTTCGGCGATGGCGGACAGAATCAGAGGAATTTAGGCTGCGAAGTATTTCCCAGGCAAACAAGTCGTCGTCGCCTAAATGTTCTCATTGCGGTCACGCGGGACGATCGAACATTCACAAGAAGAATGGATGCGTGACCTGTGGCACACGTTCTGGTTGTCATTCGGAGACGTCACAAGAGGTGTCCTTGAATGATGGGAAATCAACGATCGAAGTTGGTGTGAGGGAGAAAGCTGTCACAGACCCAGAATTCCCCAACGAACGAGTCATCGCTGAATTTATGGAGAAGAAACCGTTTGCGAAGGACCGGATCAAAAAGAGTCTTTGTGCACTTCCGCCACCTGATCTTCCGAAACTTATCGTAAGCGTCTTCGGTCATGGGTGTCGAATGCTCGATGGGCTCGTTTTTTTTTTTTCTTTACTCGTTCATTACAAGGGCTGGTTCGTAATTTTTCAGATTTTTTTTAAAGTAGATCCAACGGAGTTTCAAGAATTCCAATTTTATTTAACTCTCGTAGCCTCATCATTTGGCAACACTTCAGTGCTGTTGAACATCCTCTCCACCGATTTCAATGCATTTTTTCAGGCAATAAATCCAATTATCAAAACAGTGTCTAAAATCGAGTTTCGTCAGTTGATTTAAGCTGCTCTTCGGCGGCAGAAATGTGGCTGCCCCTGATGTCCTCAAAATCAATCCCGTTTTAGGTTTTTCTTGACTGTCGGGAACAGCCAGAAGTCACAGGGTGCCTAATCAACTAACAGAACTCAAATTTTGGAACTGTTTTTATCGTTGGATCTATCGGATGAAAAAATTTATCGAAACTGGCTGAGAGTATGTTGAACTGCACTGAAGTGTTGCCGAATGATTGTAATATGCGAATATATATTTTTTGGACTTGTTGAAACTACGTTGGATCTATTTTAAACCGTCTCCAAATGTTTGAATCAACCTCTTATAAATGCCAATGTTTCGTCAACAGCCGTTCCTTGTGAAGGAACTTGACTGGAGTGTCGATTATTGTCTGGAGAAAAGTTTTCCGTTGCTGACATCGTGGATAGTAAAAAATGGACTTCCGGAAAATTCGAATGATGATTTCCCGACCCCGGAAAAGATTGTCAAAAAATGCGTGCGAGAAGGAATGAACTGCTACGAAGTCCTCTGGAAACCAACGAAATATTTGCGGTATTTCCTGCTCAACTCGAAAGTGTTTGAGATCAAGAGAGCTTCTCTTCAATTCGATAAATTTTCTTTTTAGGGATATTGCCAAAGAATGTGAAGAATCATTCAATTGGCTTAGTGACGAGTCGCAGCTGTTCTTCAGTAAAAGTTTCGAAGCTCTCGAAACTGAATTTCTGAAATCTATTGCGAAGCCTGTGAAAGTGAAAAAACCGAAGGAAGTCAAGGTCAAGGCTCCCAAAAAAGCAGGTAGGATCAGGTCTTCGGAGAATGTTTTTTTTTTCTTTCACAATTTAATGTCTTTGAGTCAAACTTCGAGGGACCATAAAAAATTCGTGTTGGGGGAAAGAAAGAAGAATAACTGAAAATATTAATAATATTCTGGGCCCCGAATTACTTCTTGAATGAGTTGGCGGGATGCTGAAGTTAAGGGTTTGTTTGCCCAATCGGTCTTTCAGTTCCTTTCAAAACACGCGAAAATATATTCTTATTGCGTTTTTCTCATGTATCAATAATCATTGCCATAAGGCCCCCGGAAAATTCGAGTGGTGAAGGTTTGACGAGGAACGCCTTTCAGTTCGGGAAGTTCGTAATTTTATTCAAGAAGGGAATTCAGAAAGGGATTTTGAAAATGTTTGACTTCTGGAGGTTCGAGTTATCGAGGTTCAAATGCATTGGAACATTTTTAATCGTGTCAACCAAACATTTTTCCGGAATTTCAGCCATGAAAAAGGTCAAGGAAACCGTTGCTAGTCACGACTTGAGAGAAATGTTCACTCAAATGTGCTTGAAAGACACGTGTGAAAATCATGACGAGAATCATTCCAAAGACAAACCAGGAAGTTCGACGGATTCTGCCATGAGTCAACCTGCCGAAAAAGTTCCTCCTGCAGAAGACGAGAAAGCCGACGAGGAACGCGTATCTAACAGTTCCTCCGTGGAAGAAAATGGCTCTGATTGGTCGTCTGACGAAGACGACGTTTCTGAATCGGAGCTGTCGAAAGTGATCGACTCGCTGATTTCGGGTGTGCCCGCCAAAACCCCGGTTGTGAATCGTGGACGCAAAGTTGACAAAGAAAATTTCCACGTTTGGGATCTGAAGGACCTTGCAATAGATCAGTCTGCGTCAACTCCTTCAACATTCTGCAATTTGGACAAAACTCGTCCTTCGATGGCGTCTATGCAAGTGCCAGCGTCGACTCTCAAACAAAATATTCCGAATTGAATCGTTCAGAAATTTTTTCTCTGTTTTTTGATAATGCGAATTGTCTGATTTGCACACCTGAAGAAATGGGCACTAAAATATTCTGATTGAATCGATCGGAAGAATGCATTTTTTCGATAAATACCGAAAAAAATGAAGAAAATACTGTACCCAATTCGAAGAACTCGCACACAAGCCAGTTTTTGCAGATCGATTTAGAACCAGAATGAAAAGCTCAGCCGCTCTTGAAGTTATTTCCTTTTCCTATGCGTCTTAATAATGTGACTTTTTATGATTCTCTGGGAAATTTGGATACCTTAGATTTACAGTAGTTACAGTAAAATCTTTTTTCACTGATGCTGTTACGACAATTTTTTTCGGAATAAAAAATTTTTCTCTATTCCGGACTGAAGCCCATAGATTAAATTTTAAAGAAATCTCGTTGTAGCAAGCTTCCCTATTCCAGTATGACGGACCTTTTCTGAAGGAATGCGTCATAGATTCTGCAGGTAGAAATTTCCTTACTAATGCAGGCATAGTCTGAAATGTCTGATTCCAAATTTGACTGACGGATTCTTCTCGCTAAGGATGGAATCTGTAATCAATGAAAAAAATGCCTCGAAGAGGTTTCACATATCATCCTCCCAGATTAAAGAGATTTTCACAGTACCCTCACAAAAGGAAGAGATTGGTGTAAGTGATGGAATCGTGTTTGAAGCTAATTTTGTTTTCAAAACATCTGTTTTTTTAATTCATTATCAAAACCTGAGGATGCCAGGAAAGCAAGATCTGATCGGTCAGATTTAAAAATGTTTTCCAGACGTTGATCTTAAAAATGTTGCAAATTATCCAGTATAAAACAATTTTTGTAGTACCAACAAGTTTATTCGAACGAGATTTTTACTGTATTTCCATCAGACCCGTGATTCAGCGTCCTGATATTCTAACGCACGATGGAAGAATTTTTCTTTTTCGCGCGTGGCAACCCTGGTATGAATCTATGTGCAGTATATCTTTTTGAGGTTTTTTTCATTTTTGCGAGTTTTTGAATTTCGGCGTTCGATGAAACCCCGAAATGATTTCCGATTGAAACTCCCATCGGGGAGTAATTGGAATATGTATGATGTGTTCTCTTTTCGAATCGATCGCTTGCCGCGTGACTTATTCACCCGTGTTCCGCGAATACCTCTCGCATGAATAATTCACGTATGCCTCTCTCGAATGCCTTCCAGAATGTGATACTTTACTGGGTTTGGTGCACGATGATGGTGATGTGTTGGAGCTGATGCTGACGTAGACAGACGAAACCCCGGGGGAATAACCCAAAGACTCCGCGTGTCTGTCCAATGGCGGACGACACCGAGTTGGAAACGCTGCTCAGTCTGCCGCCGCGAGCCAAGGATCTGAGTCGGAGCTCCGAAGTGCTTTTGGGTCACGGCAGCAAATCAGCGTCCAACGTGACCACCACCGTCTCCAGTAGTAGTGGTGGTGGTGTCAAGGTGCACACGGTGCAGCACCACCCGCGGTCTGGCACTTTGCTCACGAGCCACAAATTCTCTTTTCCAACGTCGCCGTCGAGGACGCCGTTGTTTTCCGACGCGTCGAGTCCGCCGGTCGATCCGGCGCCGATACATCGTCAAATGCCGAGTCCGCACCGGCTCAAGAACAACCACAACGAAGATCCCAGTACGAGTCACCAAGTGCCGAGAATAAATACGACTCAGAGGAAAGGTGAGAAAGGGAGATAGATATGAAATGATGGTTCATGTTTATAGTTGACGATTTCGCGACATCTCGAAAAGAATCAGCGCCGGGATGTGGGAGGGTGAAGAAACGCGGTCATTTCGCAAACGAGGTCTTGGTTCGCGATACGCCTACGGGTTTTAGCCTGATTGAATCGCAAGCCGTGTGTCTCGGACCTTTCGTTTTTTCTCACAACCTACCCTCGAATTTCCAAGTACTGTACTGAACCCTTTTTTTACGTTGACTAAGTCGACAGTCGGATGACGTTCAAGATTTGAGTGTTGTATGTATGATTAGTTTATTGATGCTCTTACTTACAAATCATCGAATCTCGTTGACTCATGGAACATACGAGGGCTTTCCCACTTCCGTATTTCTAAAGTAGGTACCACTATCAGAAAAATTTTGTTAGCCCATGCAATTGTGAGGTTCTGGGAATTTGCTTCAGATTTTTATAAAAATTGTTTAGGTTTACTGCATAATGATAAATGAAAAATTCCCAGTCCCAGTAGGAATTCTCCATTTATGTCACAAGCTACGGTATTTAAACTTTTTCAGCCAGACAAAAAATTAAGAATTCATGTTGTTTTTAGAATGAACTTTCCTACACGTTTTTAGATTTTAAATTTTTTTTTCAATGTTTATTTTGTTTGCAAAAAATGAAAGCGTACGTGCATTTTCCATTTTTTCAAGAGCAGGGGTTCATCTCTTAATTTTTTTTATTCTCTCTTCAAAACATCACCCTCGTTTCTGCAAGGGATGTTTTTCTTTTACCATCTCAAAATTTTATGAACTATTTGTTCCCTTAAAAAAATGTTTTAATCAAGGTCAGAAAGCAGGTTAAGGAGACGTCTGCCAAAGTCCCGTTAGATCCTGTCCCCCAAAAGATTTTTTTTTGTCTGGCTTGAAAAAGTTTCAATGGCTTGTGACATGAATGAAGAACTCCCACTGGAACTGGAAAGTTTCCCCTTATCATGCAGTAGATCTAAAGAAATTTATAAAAATCTGGAAAAAATCCCAGAACCTTAGAATTGCATGGGTTACATCATAGAAGGTTTTTTTTACAGTGGTATCTACACTGGAGATACCCAAGGCTCAATACGGAAGTGGGACAACCCTCGTTATGTATTTGCTCACGCGTCGCATTTCCGGTTATAAAACTCGCCTACTTTTGTGGGCGTTGTTCACTTTCAAGGAATGCAACTTCGATAAAGTTTGACGAGGAAATGTTTGTATTGAGTGTCGTCAGTTGAGTAGGCACATGATTTTGAATGTAGTCAGTGTGTGATTGAATTTTTCTTGGCATGCCATTTTGTTTAGTTGACTTGTTTAATTTTAGTTGTTTTGCCTGCTTTCTGTTTTTTTCTATTCTGTTCCATGTGTTCTTTTGCGTTGCGTTCGTCCGTGGTGCTCTCCTTGTTCTGCGTTGCCGTGCATGATATGCAATCGGACGTGAATGTTGTGCGTGCCCGAACAACAACAACGACAACACCACATTTGCAAACAAAAAAAAAAACCCCGCACACACACAAAATCGCACCCTTTGCCCCGTCCCCGAACCCAACGTCACCAACTCGTAGTTTCATCACCGGTTGTTTGCGAAATGAGCGTCACTGTTGCTGGGGAGTTGAATGAGACGCCGCCGCGGTGGAAGCCGACGGCGGCGTCGTCGTCGTTGGCGGCGCGGAAGCAGTCGTCGTCGCAGGTGGCGCCGATTCGGGATTGTTTCGTTTCGCCGCCGCCGACGTCGCAAGCGGCGTCTCCGTCATCGCATCCTCTTTCTCTCCAACACGCGTTCCTCACAGATGTCAACGACGTCAAGACGATGGAGCGCAACTTGCTCAAGTTGCTCGACGATTTTCATTCGGGCAAACTGCTCGCCTTTGGTGAGTCGCAGAAGGCAAACGTTGATTCATAGTACTGTACCACTAAATTTGTGTCCTGGCGCATTTCGTGGCACTGACTTGAGGGGGTATTGTAAGAGAGGGAGATTTAGTTGTGGGTTTTTATTGTAGGCAAGGTGAGCTTTTTTGCGGACTTGTTGGGCTGTTTCGTGAGACAGTAAGCCATACGAAATGATGGAAAGTTGATATGTTCTGTTTTTCATTTTTTTATAGTGCATTTAAAATTATTATGAGTCGGGATTGACTATTTGCAGGGTGTGGGTTTCGATCGATTTGTGATGTTGTTGTTGGTTGCATAATAACCGTTGGCTTCGTGTGCGCAGGTCAAAACGACAACATTTCAAGAATGGAGACGATCCGGAAGCAGCAGGAGCAGTTGGCACGATTGCATTTCGACGTCGGCGCCGAGCTGTCCAACGATGCCAAAGACTCGGCGGCTGCTGGCCTTCTTAGTCAGCAACGCCTGGAGAAGTCCAAGCAGAACATGCAAAAATTCACTGACTCGCTCAAACAACTGAGCATCAGTATTGAAGGACTGAATTCGAAAAAGGAAGCTGAAGAATCGGCCAAATCCGACGCTACGTAGCGCCAAAAAAAAAAAAATGAAAATAGAAAAGGAAGAAAAATCGACACTTCCTCCATCTATGCGTCTCTCTCTCTTCGCGATTGCTTTAAAAAGGCCCACCGATTCGGGAGACTGCTTGCTGTGTCCCACACGTGGTTTTTTGAATGGATGCTCAAAATATTGTATGCTGCATTCGTTGCTCTCTTTTTTTTTGGCTTGTTGATTTTAATTTGTGATACAAGACTGGGGGTGTTGGGAAGGGGGTCAATGTTTCGCTCTCCCGTAAAATGTTTGCTCCTCGGAAAAAAGGAAAACGTCACGTCATCATATATGTGTGTGTGCTCCGTTTAGGCTCCCATTTGACAGAACGTAGCTGTGCATTTGTGGGCTTGCTTGTGAAAGGGAATCCTTTTTGGCAAATGGATATTTGGGAAACGAAACGAAAGTGAAGCGAGATGATTATTGCGGGAGTTTTTCTGTTTAATGATTCGTCCATTTATTCGTTCGGTCTGGCATTTGTTGAATATTGTCGAAAATTCTTCCTCTCATTTTTTTGTGTTAGGTTCTTGTCCGAGTGCTGATGAAGAAATATTTCAGTGTCTATAGTTTCTGAAATCAGTGGATCCCGGGATGAAAGTTCACGTTGAAGAGACGATGGAAAGTCGGTGTTCTCGAGTTGGTGCCGGACTGTGAATTTCGGCGTATTCTTCAAGTGCGTGGTGATTTCTCTGGAACGTGAGGGATGTCGACAAAAGAAATGACACTGTTTCCTCGAATACGGATACCGGTGATACTCAAGAACCTTTTTTTTTTTTGCTTCTTCCACAGAAAATTTCCCGTGTGCTTGTTGGTCTTCGAAATTTTTTCAGGATTAGTATTTGATGTACGGTCGATGAATTATGGACGATTGAGAGAAGGTGTTTCTGAGAATTCGTGAACTCAACTCCAACTCTCGAATTTGATGATTTTCTTTACTTCGGGTCTGAATTCATTTTTTTTTCGATAGTGAGTTGCTCGGAAGGTTATGAAAATGAAGGTATATTAAATCACTTCTGAAAAATCGATAGTTTTCTGGCATTTTTTCAGTCGTTGAAATTTTGCATTCTACGAGGAATTTTTTTACATTTTGAGCAGCTGAAAAGGTTCATTTATGGTTTGAGATTTGAATGTTAAAAGTCCATGTTCATCCAAACTTGGATTTTCTTGGAATTTTTTTTAGAAAGCGGTAAAAATTGGAAATTCTCTGAATTGTGTTCGCTCTGTCGAAAATGTTCGTCGAGAAGATGTTGACCGGGATTTCATTTTCTGTAAAAATGTAGTCCTCTTCTCTGTTGTCAAAAGTGCATTTTGCGTTGCGTCTTTCTCAATTTTTTAATCGAGAATGTTATTTGCAATTGTTTTTTACTATTTTTGATGCCATGTTGCCAATGAAATGTGAAGTGGTGAGTTGGCGTGATTCCGAGACGCAATTTTCGGTTTTTCTCCGTAAATAAGATTGGTCCTTTATTATCGCCCCAATACTGATGGACTATTTTTGGATAGTTTTCATTTTCAAATTCACAAAAACATATCATCCACTATTCAAGTCTGAGAATTCTCAAAGATGTCTTGGGAATCTTTTAAACTGAAGCGAAGTACTGTACTGACAAAAGGCAAGAGTGGGAAGATTGAGAAAATAAATGAGAATTTTTTGAATGCAGTACTGTATTAAGTAATGAGAAAGATTAAAATATGGGCTAAAGAGGAAGATTTACATTCTGATAGGATTATTTACTAGCTAAGGGCCTTGATAAGATGAGTAGCGTCTGGTAATTGCGTGAAGTAATTTATTGTTGAGGGTTTTTTATGTTTTGTTTGCCGATGACGAGATCTTCTTTTTGGAGAAATACAATATAGTTCATGTCACTATTGTTGACATAATTCAGGTGCCCCATGGCCAAGTTCAACAAATGCCGGAATTGTCAGTTTGAGCTCGAGATTCAGATTCGTTTGATCTATTGTTTAGAATATGTACGAATGTATTTTTTTCTGATTCTCGGAAATAGTATTACACTCTTTGCGAAATTTCTCCAAATTTTGAAAAAGGAGATACCGTATTTGAATTTTTGAGCAACCGTTGAAAGCTTTATTTTTCGCATGTCAGGGTGTGTTTTGATTGAATGACAGTTAAAAAAAAAAGAGGATCGATCCCAAATTTTGTGGCTCAGTTTCCTCGTACTAGTCTTTCATTTTCAGGGTTCAAAATAAGAATATTTTTCGGAAAAACGATGGGCGCCGACTTTCTTCCCGGTACAATATTCATTCAATTGAATGATTGTTTAACAGAGGGAATCTATATTGACGATATTTTTCGAGCACTTCACTACTTTTCGAAGGGCAGACAAATGATTTCATCTTTCCTAAATCCCCCTCTCGTAAGACGAAAAAAATAATTTTCCAGGTCATTGAGCAGAGAAAATTCCCGAGAAGCCAGATGCTGTTCTGCAAGCGAAATTTTGAAAATACTGTACAAAAGGATCTACAGTATGTTTATCGATGGATTTTCACACCTTATTCATTATTTTGAATTTATTTTCTCATGTGAGGGTTCAAGTTTCCTAGTGTGAATTCGTTTTCACATCTGATGGATCAGTTTTCCGGCCAAAATGTCAGCATCCTTTTCCTCCGGTTTGAAATTTCTGCACATGTCGAAATTCTGCTTTTCACGCGGTTCAATTGTGGCTTGGGGAAAAAACGAGACAATTGCTTCCTTGTGCGGAAACATGGAATTAAGTTGCTTGAAATCCTCATTGCGTGTTGGATGTGGCTTTTTTGTTTTCTGTTTGCTGAAGTGGAAAAATTGCTGAATATTTTAAAGAGTGATGATTTAGAATTGAATGCTGTATTAACTCATTCCCGTGCCGTATTTCGAACTGCTGGAGAAGAAAGGGCTTAATGTACTGTATTTTCTTTTGAAAATACTGTGAAATCAAACCCTGATGCTACGCCACTGTTAGTTCAAAAATGAATTTGGCACTTTATTGTGCAATTCAATTTTAAAATCTTTCCGTATAATTACCCGTATTTACTCCAGTACCACGCGCACCTTTTTTTCCAGAATTAGAGGCAGGGATAAAATGTTTCAGGAAAACTTTTCGAAAACCCTGACCCTGTTTGTGGGTACATAAAAAAAACTTGAGAGGATATGCTTGGTGCTATGTCTCATTGTTTATGGGAAATAATGGTTGAAGGGATAGCAATTTCAGGAATCAGTTAAAGATGCAACAGAAACCAGAAGATATTCCTGTAATTGAGGGAGCTGCAGACAGTAAAAAGCAGGAAAATTGAAGTGTCAATATTGGAAAATTTATCCACACACAAAATTCACAATTCTTAAATCTCAGCAAAAAAATAAAAAGTAAATTAAATAAAAAACTGGGGTGCGTGTCTCACATGCTGGGGATAGGTTTTCAGACAAATTTCTTGCAGAAAAATGCGGGTGCATGGCTTACTCAGGGATTGGTGGTACTCAAGTGAATACGGTATTGCAAGCTTTGAACAATAGATATCATAATCGTATGCATTTTGATTTTAAGCAAGAAATGCACTTGAACCTATTTGACTTGAACTTCAAGGGACCAGCAAAATAAAAAATTGAATCATAGAAGCAAGCCTTTTTCTCTGATGAAAGAAGCTAGGAATTGCAAGAAATTATAATTTGGGATACTCTAAGCCCTAATTTACTTCTTGGGTAATTTGACAGATTTTGAATTGGTTCATTGGCCCAAATAGTCTTCTCACTTACTTTCAAAACGCACCACTACTTTTTTTTTTTTGCTTTTCTCTTTCCGGTGTCAATAAAAATAATTGGAAAAAAGGCCTCAGAAAATTCGAGTTGAGAAGATTTGGGGAGGAAAGCCACGGAATCCTGGAGGCTTTTGATACATTATTTCTGAAAGAATTTGGGTGGAGAATTGCAAAAAAAAATTGCGTCGAAGGCAGCTTCAACTTGAACTCGATTTAGTCGTTCAAATTCAATGGGACGCATTTAGAACTGAATTTGTTTTTAACCTTTTTCATTCACGTCTTCACTTTTAGCATGTGACAGCGTTGACGGGTTGACAACATCTCACGAAACTCACCCATTATACGTGACGAATTCCCATCAGTTCCTAGCTCGACACATTTAGTTCGAGTCGTTGTATACGCTATTTTGTATTCTATGTCCGTGGTTTCTTTTAAAGACTCCTTTCTTTGACCGAAGCAAAGGTCAAAGGTCTGGTATTCACGCGCATTCCAGCTGAAGATCTTCTACGGGTCACTGTAAAAATAATGTACAGAATCCTACAGTACAGTGTTTTAGTTGATTTTTTCTTCTGCGGAGAGCTCGTTTTTTTTTTCTTTCAATTTGTCACCTGAAGTGAATGCTTGAACTTGATTCGAAGTAAAATACGCTTTGAGAATGCAGATGGACTCTCGGATCTACAATGAAATTCGAGGGGCCACAAAAAATGCCGTTGAAGAGATAATTTCTTTTTCGAAGAATCTGTATAAAACGGGTAAGTGAACCCTATGGGATCAAACATAATTTGTTATGTAGAGATCCATTCGTTGTGGAGAGAGTCTGTATTAAATTATTATGATCGTGTTATAACGAATGCTCGCTTGCAGCGAAGTATTTTTTTCCGAATTCCCTGCCCAATGGCCAAAATTTTAAATGAGGTACTTCATGACGAATTTTTATTCACAGCGAAGCTATTTAAATGGTCCCATTGGCTTCATTGCAGTGTTTATAATTAGCCGAAGTCGATATTATATTCCTTAATCTTTAAAAAGAAGGTCATTCATTTTAAGAATGATTTTTAAAATCACATTTGACCGAATCCAGGTCGGAGGAACCTTTGACAAAAATAGTCACTTTCAAGTTTTTTCTTTGTCCCTGGGCGTGTAATTAAAATGTCAACTTTTTTCGTTCCTTGGTACCGGTAAATCCCGTTACAACGAAGCCATCGGGAGGAGTAAAATAGCTTCGTTGTGACAGAAAGTTCGTTACAACGGGAATCATTTAAAATTGTGGCGATTGGACAGGGACGGGAAAAAGACTTCGTTGTAAACGATTTTTCGGTATAACGAGAATCTACTGTATTTGTATTTTCTTCGCATTGCCGATTACGTTATCGTCGAAAAAGCACTGATGTTTTTCTGATGACGATTTTCAAATGTTTGAAAATGCTCCCGATAAAATTCGTCGTGCTTCACGTAAAGTATGTTTTGTGGTTTTAGAGATGAAAATAATAGCTTTTTCTTCATTCACTTGCCTACGAATTTAACAGCAAACGAGTTTTATAATTGGAAATTTAACGAATAAAAAAGGACATTTCAATTTAAAAAAAAAAAACAGTTTTAGATGGTCGTACTACTGTAATGTATTTTATTTATGTTTGTGTGAGGATGGAATCTATGATACGGCGACTCAATTGGAACTTTGAATATTTTGCAATTTTCGGGAATTGGATGAATTTCTGTGTACCGTCGG